AGTCAGGAAAGAGACGTCCATGTCCTCGGCCCATCGCGGCGCTGAACCATGAAACCTTACTGCATCCCGAAGGCATCGCATCGCGCCGCCGGCGATGGGCCAATGATCCCAAGATAAACCGCCGTAGGAGTGTCCTTCGTTTTGCCAGCCAGAAAGGAGTGCACGTAGGCCTTGCGCAACCGCTGCAGCACCTCGTCGGGCGCCATGGCACCAGGCGCCCCCCCTGCCCATAAAACGATTCCAAACATCCGATGAGCTCAGCAGGTGCCCTCAGCTAGACCATGGCTCTCCGCAACAATCTGCGATCGACAGTCTCGAAAAACTTGGAAAGGTCCTGGCAGACAAAGGCAGAGTTATAGGCCTTCTGGACTCCGCCTAACACAGTACAATCCAGCCATTGAAGCATCCACTGAAGCAATGCCCAGCGGCCTGTACTCCTGTGTGCCGTCTTTAGGGAGGAGACAAACTCGAGTGTCACACCATCGAGCAGGAATCCGATGCACAGCAAGGCATCGGCACCAAAGCTCAGCATGCCACCACGAAGTGGGCAACAACAAAAAAGCTGCTCCGCAGTCCAATCGTCTGGCCCCTGGGCCTTGTGCAACATGACTTTCGCAGAAGCCTGCAACATCTCCGCCGTGAGCCTAGGACACACCGCGGCTGCGGCTGGCCTTGGCACATTCTGCAACATGCGCTCAAAGAGTCCGCGTCGATCTCGGCTCGCTGCCAAACCTGAGTCCATGCGTCAACACCTTGTTCCAAAGCGGCAGCAGAGCAGGATGGATTGAATGCAGCGTGGAGCCTTGAACGAAAGCACTCCGGTCCGAGTGACCAAACTCCTTTGGCAGTTGAGCCTGGTGCTTCACCCAACGTCGCTGCACGCACCTGTCAGCAGCCATGCTTCTGCGCCAACGACCAAGTCGCTGCTCACTCTCATCAAGATCCATTGTGGTAACAAGTTCGGTCACCGTGTCGACGTAGTCAAGGGCTGTGTGCACCGACAATCCATGAAGGACCGGGGCGCGCCGAATCAAATCCTGGGCTCCACGCACCAAACTCTGTCGAAGCTGCCAGTCCTCAGGGTGACCCCGAAGTTGAAGAAGGCGGCGCAGTAGCCGGCGCAACCGCCGCAGCTCGACCGTCTCAGGCATGCGAGCCGAGCGAGGTCCATGCACAACTTGGGCCGGGCTCCAGTCAGCAGATCTCGGAACGCAGCCTCGAGTGTCGGGGCAAAAGGGCGAACTCCGCAACGTCAGAGAGGAGTCGCCATGCCAAGTTCACATCGTCATTCTTGATGGCGGTCGCAAAGTCGTCAGCCTTCCAAGCCTCGTGGAAGTGGGCCTCAGCACTCTCCGCTTTCTCCGTGACAACGGCTCGCCTGGGCCCACAACCGCCGCGCACCGCATGACTGCAAGGCAACGTGTAGCCCACCAAAAGGCGATCAGCGACTCCAGGCCGATGATGAAGCTCAGTCGCTCGGAGGCTCGGAGGCCCGACGATGCCAAAGTCGACGCGCCGCCTCCCCGTGCACGTAGGGCAAAGAGGACTGAAGCCATCATCCAGGCTCCTCGCTTAGCAGGTAGCACAAAGAGAGCACAACTCGTGATTTTCCGCATTCCAATCACCAAGGGCGACCCACGGGAATCCCAAGATGGAAAGGGCCCCTGGCAACAACACATGCATGTTGTCTAGCCATAGTAAGGCTGTCAGCGTGCCCATAGACGCAAGCAGTCACCACAGAAATTTCTGCACCAATCACAGCGGCGACATAACGCGAAGCATCCACCTCCTCACTCAGCTGTACTTTGCGAAGAGGTAGACGCGAAATCAAAGCCACACGAATTCGATGGCCTCAGCAGCGCACTTGTAAAGGCACCCACAACCTTTACAACGCCATCCTCGGCCCACGCTGAAGGAGGGTTTGCCCCGGCGATGAACCAGCCTCGGCCATGTGAGCTGAGTGCAGCCACTCATGTCAACACCAGAATTGATGCATCGGGCGACGCAGCGATTCAGTTGTTTGATCCGCACCTTCTGGGAACGCCCGAGCCGAGCCTCACCTTCTCTGGCAAGACCACGGTGCCATTCTGCTTCGGGAACCTCAGCATCACGATGATGTGCAGCCTTCAGCTCCTTAATATGCAGGAGGTTGATCTTGTTAAGGTCCTCCTGGCGCAAGCCGCAAGCCTTTGCGACACAGAGGGCAGCGCAAGCCACCTTCCATGCGCTTGTTCACAACGTACAACCGAACAACCGGGCGAGGGGCCCTTCGAACAATGCCATGAATTTGGACCATGTGCTTCGAACCCTTAGCTGCACATTTGGAGGCGTCATCATGACGCACCATGAAGGGGCACAGCTCACATCGAAGGCAACAGCCGCCTCGCCGATCCGCAAAATCGAACCTCTTGGGCCGGGCTTCACTGGCAACTAGGTCCTCGAAGTCCTGCGGCTCCATGTCCGTGCGCTCCTCTGTGCCCTCAGTCCAAACGGAAGCCTCGCCACCTCGAACCATCGCTTTGACACTTGTGCCGCCCGGGGCAAAGCTCGGAACGCGGCTCCTGGTGCCACTGCTTGCAGTCCACACCCCCCCCGCCACGAGCCGGGACCGAACGAGGAGCAGTGGTGATGTCCATTATGCTCTTGCGCAAGTCGTTCGCCTTGTCGGGCACGATCCTGTCATAGTGAGAGCCAGTGAACCAAACGCAAATCACCCGCCGCTTTTGCTTGGGATGGATGACGAAGGGCTCAAGCTGGAGGCTCGCCGGGAAGACGATGATACGAACGTCATTCATCCTTGCCATTGTTCGCAACTCGAGGATGCCGCCCCAAGTCTTGTCGACGCTGATGGCATTGCAATACTGCTAGAAAGAGGTGCTCGCCGTGTGATCTGGGAGCTCACGATCCCACTGTTTTTCGTAAGCAGCAATGTTTTTGCGGAAGTGGGCCACCACCTCCGCCCGAACTTGCAACGACTGCTTCACATCGACCTTGTCCAGTTCTGCTACCCCACCAGCGACAGCAGCGAAGCAGCAGTTCCCGTCCTTCTCGATGGGCTGGATTCGCACGCCTGTGGGCAGGGCCCGTTGAGGCTCGGCGGCCTTCTTCTGAGTGGAATCCACCGCCGAAGTGTTGCCACGCTTCTTGCCAGCCTTAATCTCAGCATCAGCAGGAGGAGAAGCACTGCCTGCCTCATTGCTCGTCGCCAGCGGCTCCCGAGCAACTGGCACCGCCTTGTCAAAGGGCTTCGGAGGAGCCTGAAGGCTTGAGCCAAATGGTTGTTGTAGTTTCTTAATGTTCTTCTCGTCTGCACCTTCGTTATGTCTGGGTTCATGTGTACATTAGTTCCTTTTACCTTGTGTAAATCACTCTTGGTTTTCCCTTGACTGATATTCAGTAGTCGCAGAGTGTTTGAAAATCTGTGCGCAGACACACACGACACGGCTACCCTGCATTGAGGAAGCGGCCGAAGATGATCCCCGCGAGTGTCGGTGAAGCATAGCTGCGAACAGGCATCGGAAGGAGGAGCACAAGACCCGTCAGCAAAACACAGGCCACCAAGGAGGCGACAGGAAACTCCCACTTGGGAGGCCACTGCAGCTCGGCAACTGCCCATGGTCCGGGCTGCTCCCACCGGAAACCATGCCGTGTGAGGGCAACTGTAACTATAGCACAACCCATGAATGTCGGCACCGCAACCCAACTCCTTGACGAGAATCTGGGAAGTCCGCAGATGCCGTGGCCACTTGTACATCCCTTGCCTACCCGGGTGCCGATCCCGACAAAAATCGCAGCTGCAATGTAACGGACGACATGGAAGGGCGCTGCTCGAGGAAACGAGAAATCGTGATTGCAGGCCATGGCAATCAAGCCTCCCAGCACCAAGCCAAGCAGAAAAAGTATCTTCCATAGCTGGCCATCCTTCAGTGGCTGGCACTGAGTCACACCGCGAAGGAAAGGGCCAAGGATGCCGGCAACTCCAGCGATCCTGCCATCCACCTTCAAGGAGCTCTGGGAATGCAAAACAATCATCCAGTTAAGGGTTGAGTGTTTTGGGCTTGGGTTTAGAGTGTGTGGTTATGGGCACCAAGTAGGAGATGGCAGCTGACAGCCCAATGAGCATGCCGCCGATGGCGGACTCCACGGGCGTAAACATGGCTCTGGTTTCGACAGCTCCTACATCAACCTTGAGCCGCTCCTACATCAACCTTGAGCCGTCTTCGAGTCCGCCAAGGGCACCCCCGTTCAGCCGGAGATGAGTTTTTCTAGGCGCGGCAGTTGCTCCAAGGCTGCACCGAGATGGTTGCACTGCTGCATGCGCACCACACGTGAGACAGTGGTGAAAGTGCTTGGCCTTAGCATGTCAACGCTAGCCGTTGAAACAGGCCGGGTTTGCCCATGCCACGATCTTGCCTGCTTTGCCGTTGAGATCTGCTCTGGCTGACAAGTCCTGCACTGCCAAAACCACAACGAGAAGCGGAGAGCTCCCGAAATCCACTTGCAAGACAAAGCAGAAGATGATGTGAAGCCTGGAGGAGAACTCGAGATCCATCCGGGAAGCGGCCACCACTTTCCGGAAGGAGGTAGATCACATCCAACCTATCATTTGCCGTGCGACTCGCTGTCATAACAAGGATTTCCTAGCTGGTCAAACAGAGGTCAGCATCTTTACGTTGAATCCAATCTGGCCAGACCGCTGTTAGATCCGTAGTCGAAGACGCGACCGTTTGAGACTCGAAAAGAGACCAGAAGCAAACACAAGGCGGCAGGCTTACGCACATTTGACCCTCTGCTGCACTTCACCCGCCGAGCCACTCTGACTGAATGGCACCCTTCAGCAGCTCCTGCGGACTGGGGTCAGCAGATTGCACAGATGCCAACTCTTCTGCGGGCAGCATGCCAAAAGCGCTGTTTCTCACAGTCAAGCGTAGGCACTCCTCAGGCTAAGACTTTGGCCTAAAGGAGCACTACTCTGCCCGAATGCCCCATCAGGCATCATCTCAAGGCAATGGTTCCACGAGGACCTGCTCGACAAGGCTTTAGGCTTTCCGGGAAGAACCACATGTTGCTGTTGGAGTAAAGTTGCGATTTTGCAGCACATGCCAACAGCCTAGGCAGCTTTACGATTCGTGCAATTCAAGCTCAGAGACAGCCTCAAGGTCCGGAAGCATGGCTTGCAAACGATCGCGGCATCGATACGCTTTGTCTCGTGAATCCCCGAAAACCACAGCCCGGCCGATTTCGCCAACCAAGGCCTTACTTGGCGTAGCTGCGATGGGGCGAAGCAGGAAGCCACTCACTGAGGTGCAACATGAAAAAGGCCAGGGTGCGGTCTCAACCAGCTCCCCTGCAGCTCGTTGTGCCTTCTCCGGCGACAGGATGTCTGGTAGTGCCTCTTTCAGCATTTCGGCGAACTTCTGGACCGAGAAGGTGCGAAGACCCATCCGTATAAGGACCTTCTCATCAACTTGTGAGCTGGAGAGAGAAGCACAGATGACAAAGAGGGCAAAATGGTGCTGCAAATGCTGATGCTTCAATGCTAGCGAACAACGGAGAGCAGTTCAGTTTGAAAAATGGATTAGCATGCTTGCCCATGAAGTGACGCCATGACACTGGCTTCCAAAATTGCCACCACCTCCCTTTCGAGATGGGCGCACATATGACAACACCCCAAAGGTTTGTAGTTGCCATCTTCGTCTTCGTGTTCTCCTTCACAACTCGTTTGAGCGCTGGTGCTGCGCACCGGCGAACCTTGCTCCGAAAACGTGCCCCTGCACTCGCAGCCACTGTCAGGGCTGCATGGCTGGGACCTCAACTTCGGGTCTGTATGAACATGCGATGCACGTGCCATCAACAATCATTCGTCAGAGCGGCGGATCGCAGCATCATGCCGGACATGTGCAATGTCTTCCAGAAGCGGTCGCAGAACAGATGCAGCATGGTGTGCTCTTGCCACAGGAAGTTCGCCACGAGGAGGCGCCAATCGCAGCGACATGGCCGGTTCCATCCCGGATTGTAAACGTGCCAGGAACAGTTCAGACTGTTGCAGAACTACCTCTTATGAAGATCTTAGCGCAGCTGTGCTGGAGCATGCCAGCTGACCCAAGAAAGATTGCCACGGGCTAGTTTCGCGAGTTTGCACGTTCCCAATTCCAAGCTTCATAAGCTAGACGCAGCAAATTAGCTGAAGAGCCTTGAATTGGAGAGATAGAAGTACCAATAATTTGAGTGCAAGCTGCACGGCACGAAGCCCAGATCGGGGCAGGCCGTTTTGCAGATGCACCCGCTTGCTCCAAGATCCTACCAGCCATGCTCCTTTCGAGGCCACTCCTGCTCTTAAAGGACCTGGATTGATAAGGCTGTTGTTTGCCGTCCTTTGATCTGGCCGATTCACTGCTTTCCTGAAGAGTCCCTGGCTTCCCCCGTAGCCTCTCAAACCAATGCAGCGTTGTTGACAGACACTTCGGAAAATCTGCTGATGCGATGCTGTCGCAGGGGGACCCCACAACTCTTTTCGATTCAACGTTCTGCAAAGGGGCACCAAAGACTCCTGACCACGGCGCTCGAAGATATCCATGTACAGCCTGTTTTGCATGACTGCTTTCAGAATGCAGAGACCCTCATTAGCACCAACACGAAAAGCTCTCTTGGCACAAGGAGAGCCAGGAGAGCGGAGCTGCATCAGCAAGGCAACCAAAGACCCAAGCCTGTGCAGATTGTCCATGAGCTTCGCGAACTCCTCTTCGTGCACCTGTTTTGGCAGGTTTACAGTAGAGACGAGTGCTTGTTGAAGGTGCCAGGAACTCTGACATACAGCTTGTCGTGTTGCTATCTGTCCACAAAGCGTCAAGCGCGAGCATAGCATGACGTCTCTGTGCTCCTGGTACGGTGACGCTTGGAGGAAGTCAGAGCTGCGGTGCCTCGCTAAATTTGCCGACAGCCATACCTGCAGGTGTAAGCTGCACGACCGGAGAATGATGGATCAAGGGCCCTGCCAGGTGAACAGACGGTAGGAACTTGGCCTGACTTCATCAACTCCAGCAGCTTGACCTCGTCAGCTGGACTGCACCAAGCCGGGACTGGTACTCAAAATGAAGTACTCGGATGTGATGGGGTTCTCAGGCTAAGTGGGCAGCTGCGAGGGCTTCAATTTGCCGTGGCCGAGCCCGGGGCGCAGCCGTGCTCTGCTAAAGAGCCTTTCACTTCCAACCCACGCCACGGGCTGTCCTCGAAAGCTGGCGTCTGCTGGCACTGTAGCTCTTGCTGGAACAAGGCAGGAGGTCATGGAAACACTTCACAAGTACCAGGAATATGCCTGCAGAGAGGGGCTGGCAGATCAGTGGATGACTGAAGTCCAACCATAAAGACTTTATTCTTCAGCAAGGTTTTGCTTCTCGTGCCCTCCGATGTTTTGAAACCTTTGTACTGAATGAATCGCGGCACACATTACAGCGATGACCTTGTGCGCCAAGAGAGATGTCATCGCCCAATTCATCTGCCTTGGGGCAACAGTCTTGCCATATGACCAACAGGTTGTTAGGACACTTCCAGGAACATGAACGATCTCTGTCAGGCTGGCACTTCAAGGCAGTCCGGCACTTGCGAATGTGGCGCTGGACCGACTTGGAACCTCAAGACTCTGATCCCTATGCTGTTCTCGGGAGACGAAGATGATGATAATGATGATGATGATGATGACGACGACGACGATGATGCGGTGGTGGATGAGGACGATGATGATGAGGATGATGGGGATGATGATGATGATGATGATGACGACGGAGATGATGCTGATGATGATGATGATGACGGTGGTGGCGGTGGTGGTGACGACGGTCGTGAAGGATGAAGATGGCGATGGTGATGGTGATGATGATGATCATGATGATCATGATGATCATGGTGATCATGATCATGATGACGAAGAAGATGATGATGATGATGGCGGCGGTGATGATGAGGTTGATGAGGACGACGATGATGATGATAATCAGGATGACGATGACGATGATGATGATGATTTGTGAGGAGGAGGAGGAGGAGGAGGATGCGGAGGAGGAAGCACGAACAGCATCATGGTGGTAATGCTGACGATGATGATGTGGATGATGGCCATCATATTGTAAGATTAATGTCGTGCGAGAACATTTTCTTTATCACTCTGCAGCAGAGGTGGACGAGGTCACGCTGCAGGGAAAAAGCACAGCATCCACTGTTGCAAACAAGGTCTCGGCTCTCGTTCAAGAGGGGCATCAAGTGTGGCTCCTAGCAGAGGCCCGAAGGTGGTCCAAGTGATGAAGGGTTTTGTGGTCGAGGGCTTCAGGCCGCCTCCAGCATTGTGAACGCACCTCCGGCAGCCGTCTTGCTGACCTGCCGGGACTGCTCACACAGCACCCATAGTATCACGTAGGGCCTCGGGGCTTTGACTATGCGGCACTCTCCGCACCTTCGGGTCGACCAGTAAGGGCTTCACTTTATCCAAGAACTTGTCCGCATACTTCGGACTTCTCTCCTGATAAGCTTGTCTGCCGGATGACACGACACACACAGCTACCAAGTTTTATCCGCAATTTCAAACATTCACTTTACCGGTTCGAAGTTTCTTGCTCCGCCATTGGACCGAAACTTCGTCCTCTGCAGAACAGACAGTCTGACATATCATCCGTCCCCTGATCTCCGTGGGCCCTTCTGACCAGCCGCCACTGGAATTTTTTTCGTGACTCTTCACACGACCGGCGTTCATGATTGCTGTCTACTGCACTGCAGAACGAACGCACAATGAGCATGAAATGTGCTGTCGTCGTTCAGTGCAGTGTGCAAACTTTTGTACGGGGAGTGCCCACGAATTCGAAGAGACATCTCGCAGTTCCTGTTTTAGCACTGCCGACACTGTGGGACTCGTACGCATGTCTCATGTAACAGCACAGTTTTTGGCCGCAGATGACGCTTGCTGGCCAGTTTAGGGCTCCCGCCAAGATCTGCTCCACTGTGAGGCCACGCCGCTCCTGTTCGTGAACTAGGGTACTGCTGCATGACGATGCAGGGGTCGAGGGGGCTGCACACGAAAGTTTCTGATGTCTTGACCCGGCAGGTGCACTTGATGTCCTTCTCGAGCTCACCATCATCATCTTCAGAGGAAATCTCTTGGAAGATGTTGAACCTGCTGTGGCACCGCCCAGCGAGCAGGAAAGTAACTGTCAACAGAAGTACCCTAAGAACAGCCGGCTGCAGTGGATTATTATACTGAGGTACATCGAGGCAAGCAACTTGTGGGCAAGCTTGCGGCCATCACCGCGCATAGCCCTGCCATCTTGGTCCTGCCCATGGCTCGCCAGCAGCCTAACACACGAGAGATTCCGCCCGCCTTTTGCACCTCCGACCAGCCAACTTCAGCCGCCTGCAAACAGTTCTGTCAGAGGGGTCGTGAAGAATCTCTGCACAGCAAGCACCCAAGCACCCACATCTTGTGTCAAAGGTCTTTTCTTGTCGCTTCTAGCTCTTTCCTGCATGAACTGCAGACTGTGAATCTGTAGAAAGGGCCCGACCATGGCGTGCTTCGAAGCTTCCGCGGAGGTTGGAGGGTATCCCCACAGCACCGGTCAAAATCTTGCAGATGCTCCAATAGTATACATGTCGATGCTCTGCTCGTGCCGATCCTCTAGGTGCTGTGACAACACCACCAGAGATAAATCTCTTCTGGAAAACCTGGAGAACAAGAAGCATGATCAAGCTGCCGTTTTAAGCAGCTAAGCTTCCGCACGCATCTACCCACCAAGCTGGACTCTAAAGTGGTCCAGGGAGGTAAAAGCTGAGCTTCAGCGCGGATTAGCACAGGCGCAAAACTGATAGCCAATTGCATCTGCCAGACCTCGGCGGGCTAGGTCTCGACGTATGAAAGCTCGTTCCCGTGGTCTGCAGGCTAGCATTTAGCTAACAGGTCTAACGATGTATCCTCGTACACAGACGACAAACGGGCAGGTTATCGCAAGATTAAATGTAGAGGAAGCTCGACGAAGTTGTTGGAAGGCATGACGGGCATGCTCTGGACATGCTTGGGTCTGGCTGTGTGTGGTTCATGGGTCCGGTACTCGTGACCGGTGGGTGCAGGTGCTGAATGGCAGTCACTACCAGGAAGGCAGACAACCCGGTAGCAGCTGAAGCAACGTCGGTAACGGCTGCGGCAAATGAAGAGCACCCGTGGAAGGCAACTAGCCCTGCCGTCGGTCTCCAGCTGACAGGGAGGGAGGTGCTGGAGCTCTGATGCACGGCACGGATCGAAACGCGCCCGAATATTGGGCACAAGCAAGTCTTCGGTCGTGAAACTTTTGGAAAGGACAGTGAGTGAAGCCGTGGACAGCTGCAGAGCTGCAGAGCAGAAACCCAGATACTTGGCTGAGCCGGTCATCACGAACATTTGCAGTTGAAGGCTGAACCACAAGACCTGTCCACGAGCAGACTGGTCAGTAAGAAGACGTTTACGACTTAGAACAGCAATCAAGAAGACTACTGACACGACTCGCGTAGCTAAAACCTTGGACACCAACGCATGCAAGCGGTGTAGGAACAGCAAGGAAAGATCGCACTGCCACTACATCGCAATGCGCCCTGACAAATCAGGCCGTGGCGTGCAACTTTTGTCTCGTCTGTACGACGACTGCCTGTGGCAGTTGCTTGCTGCACAAGCATGTGTCTGCTTCCGCTCCATCACTTGGTTTGCCCAGAAGTCTTGGCCGAGCTGCTTGCAGCAAGAGGTAGGCCATCCGAGCCTTATCTACGACTCCGGCCCCTGGCCAGCAAGCTCCTGCAGCAACAGGCGATGAGTCAAACAGCTTTAACTGTTTCTAACTGCCAAAAGCAAGGACACGTGGGCTAAAACGATGAGATGTTTGATCGTGTCGGGTCCTGGATGTATGTGATGTCGTCCCAAGGATGGCGGTACAGCGGCTGCTTCAGCCTTGCATACTCGCATAGTCCAGCCACTGAACATGTCTTTTCGCTCGCCATTTTGAGGCGCGCTTAATCTGCGAGCCCTGGAGTGCAACTCCTGCCCTGTCTCCTGAGGCGTCAGCCGAAGCTGGTCCAGGTAGTGGCCAATGAAGCCGATGGAGCGGCCTAAACATGGGTTGCCCTCCACCAGAGGGGACCGGGGTGTCGCGCGAAGCTGACACAGGCCTAGAACGAACAGGCCATTGAGACAGCCGAAGTCCATGAGGTCGTCGCACTCTTCCTGCCGGAAACAACACTGTTCACGATCTTCCGATCTCATCTGGCACAGGTGCACCGGGATGATACACTTCACGATAACGAGGATCTTTCCGAGATCCCTGGCTGCACAACTCCTTCGAGAAGGCCCCGCAAGACCTGATCATGTCCACGAACGACCTGGGCACCCAAAGTCGCATGGAATGTAAAACGTGGAAGTATGACAATCGAATCCTGTCAACACGCACAAAACTGTGGGTGGGACACGGCAATGCATCCGTCGACGTTCAGGATCAGGTTTGCTCGCTTGCGGGTAGTGATCTGCTCCTGGCGCAGCGCCGACCAGTGACATCTGCTGAGAGGCGCGGAGCTGCAGGTGACTTTGCTGCAGGTTGCGAACTCAAGATTCTTGGCCGAGCTTCGACTGCGAGGGCATAGTCAAGAACGGGCGTTGAGTTGAAGTTCTTCTTGGCGAAACCCTTGATGATCTCCACCTGGCATGCCACTTGATGCGAGAACTCCTTCGGAGACTGGACTTGGAGCCCCGACTCGCTGGTCAGGATTCGCCAGGGACTTGATCCTGTGCCCGATGCCCATGATGAGCTGGTTGCTCTTCTTCATCTTCTCGATCCAATCCTACAAGTAGCCCGGAAAGCGATGCTAAAGAAGAAACGAAATAGGCTGCCGGGGCCAACCCGCCTTGGGCGCCACTCCGCTGCCCTGTGCATCTGCGAACCTGAACCAGAAGAGTGAAGGCAAAGATGATCCCAACTCAGAGAAATTCCTCATTGTGAGAATGCCGGCTTAGCAGCATTCTGGCCGCATCATCCAGTGCGCCACCGAAGCGAGGCCCAATCGTCAGCAGGCCGCTGCAAAGAGAGGACACGAGATCCTTGCCTGGCGTGGGACCGCGATCCAGTCTGTGCGTGGACTGTTGCTTACGTTGGGCCTGCGCGCGCTGTGACGATGGTGTTATGTGCACCACTCACCGCTGGACCATGGTCGGCTGTGACCATGAGAATCATCTCGATGAACTTCGTTGCGTAAGCCTTGGTGGCACAACCACTCGCGCGAATCTGACTGTTCCGCAGGCTCACAGATGCACGTGGAGTTTCCCCTCTCACCGGTCCGGTGGGGAATGTACAGACAGGCACGCTGGCTCCACTCGAAAACACACAGACACCTCCCCCTGTTCTGTTCTGTTCTCCGCCGCGCAGGGGACCGAAGCCGATTGGCTCACCCCTGTGCAAGGGCTTTGTGGGGCGACGTGAGACCACAACCGAAGCCCAGCGAAAAGGACTCGTGAAGGCAAGTGAGCTCGGGTAGAAGATACAGACACCTCCCCATCGCTCTCTCTGTGTCTCGGGATCGCTTGAGGGTTTTGGATCTCAGTCTCTATCTCAGAGCAAGGCAGGAAGTTGGCGACGGAACCACAAGAGGGAGAGAACACCGCCGATGCCAATCTCCTGGCTTCGGACATCAGGGCAAGCAAAGGGCTGCACAGATCACAGCAGCACCCTTGGTCCTTGGAGAAGACGTCTGAGATGCTCATGCCGCAGTAGGTCAGCTCCTTGGCACTGATAACTGATAACTGCAACATGGCTCGCACAAGGCTTCTGGACGGTCCTCTCCGCGATCATCGGAGATGGATGAGATAAAGTTTGCAGGCTTCCTGCGAGGGACACAAGCTGTGTTGGACCGTTGCCGACAGACAGTTTGAAGGTAATCTGCATGATGCTGCGCCTGACCATTCCAAGCTTCTTTGCCCAGGTGTAGTCCATGGGCACCTGCTGCGGCTTCAATGCTTAAGCTGCCGCATGAGCTGCCCTGTCAGAGCCTGGGGGGTCTCGCCCTCGTGCTGCTCCACGATCTCACCGGCCTCCACCAAATTGGTGTAGACCTGGCAGTGGCACGGTGCGCCATGCAGCAAGAAATGCCCCGGCATATTCAGCAACCCTGAACGGACCTTGTTGATCATCTCCGGGAGCAGATCGAAAGAGTCTGGCACGTGGAATCCAGCTTCCTTCATTGCCTTCTCAGTCCAGGATGACACGCAAGCCGTTTACAGGCATCCTTGATCTTGGCAAAGGCCTTGTTTTTGGCTGCTGCAGTCTCCATGTCGCCGCGGGCCTGGGGAGCCAGGGTTGTCTAGAGTCCGCTCTTCGAAAGAAGTGAGCCCACGCGCCTGCGCACCAGCGTGTCCGAACTGCACCTGCACACAAGCAGCAAACAGCTGCTCCGTCTCTAAGTGCAGTCAAAGGCTGAAGCACCT